TTGTTACCTATATCTTGGGAAGGGTCCAGACCTCACTCCAGCAGAGAGTAGTGATTTCATCTTGGCTGTTAGTAGATTCCATCGTAGTGACCCTTGAGTGTGTGGCCACACTCACCCCTCTATTTATACCTATCACAAACTGTGGGAACACAGCTGGAAGAATTGTGATGGCGGTGTTGGAAGGAGCTATAACCATCACCGTGTTGGCACACCTACTATACCAAACCCTATCTTTGCGACCCCAAAACAGACAACGATGGACCCTGAAGATAGTCATCCTAATCGGATGGGGTCTGGCCTGGGGAATCTGTTCTGTGCTATATTGGACTGGTCTCTGTACCACAGTACCTATCGTAATTTGGATGATGACTTATGCTGCCATCTTCAAAACCAGACCTGAACCTGCTTTTACTGCACCGGAGGGAAGTGGAGGCCACGGAATCTCCATAGATTGAATCTCCAATTCACCAAAAATACAAAGAACCTTAATCATTATAACCAACAATGCTTAAATATCCCCCCTGCTAATGCTATTATTAATCATTAATCTAATGTCTGTTTAACTCTGGGCCATGTTGCTCTATGAGGTCCTTGATGTCGGCTGACGGCCTGTATAGGTCCAGTAATGGTTGAGGGCCTTTGAAAAGCGATGAAACCCGGAGAAGAGAAAATAATAATAATAATAATAATAATAATAATAATAATAAAAATAATGAAAATAAAATAAAAAATAAAAAAATAAAATAAAATAAAAAATAAAATATAGTAGTTCTGTTGTAGTGTTAGATCTTGTTTTATCCCCTTTTGTCGTTACAGGAGCATGAAGTAACCTGCTGTTTCTGTCACAAAGGATTAACAGAAACCAAGTATCTCTGGGCTGTCGGTTCGTCCTGGTGGTGCCAGTGCTATCACTCTGGCTTGGTGGCCAGAACTGCGGTGAATGGAATTCTTGTCTCAGATGAGCCCCATAGTCTGCCGCAAGTATCCACAGCAGTGTGCATGGAAACAGAACACACCTGCAAAGTCATCTGGACCTCGGCTCTGAACTCGGTGCCCTATCAGCCAAGGGGAGCTATCCCACCACGAGCCTCATACTACCCGGTGGTAGCCAAGTTGTGGGAACACCTCCACAACGTCACTAGGTTCGTGGCAATCCATCTGTACACTGGGCTGCCCTTGGTCCACGGCCCATCCTTCGGGGTTACGCAGGGATCATCAGAGCCTCTGCCCCCGACAGTGCCAGCCTCCTTAGGGGCAAACCTAGGAGCCACTCCACCACTGGTTCCGACTCCCGCGATGACAGCAATTCAGGAGATGAATACAAATCCACCTAACATCCATCTGGCACCAACCCTGATGGTGACGAATCGACATCAGACCCCAGCCGTTACTTCACCTGACCTACCACCTACAGGGTCTCAGCCCGAGACCGAGCCCATGGAAGTAAGGGCAACATCTCCTGAACCACCCCTTCTCTCCCTGGAGTGCCCAGAACTGTACCAATTGGAAACCTATCTCGATCATTTTGTGAACACTGAAGTTGGCTCACCTAGTCCGACCAACTCCACGAGTACTGCTCCGTATGATCCTACCAGCCCTGAAGATTCCAACCCACCAAGCCTGATAACCCCGGAGGGAACATTTCTGGACCCAACTCATCCTGATGGGCCAGTAAATGCCCCTCAAGAATCGACGCAAGAATGACCACAGCTAGTGCCGGAAGTGAATGCATGGGTCTATTCAGACGAAGGACGACCCATCTATGAGCCCGTCACTCCTGTGGAGTCTCCCATGAGTATGGAGGCAACATCCTCTCAGTCTGTCACCAGCACAGCTCCACCTTCGTCTGAGGATGCACATCACCCCGGGGATCCGACATCTCAAGTAGGCAACTCACGGGAGGTCAACTCTGGTGAACTGATGATAGTGGATTATTGGGATGCTGCTGACGAGGAGGCCCAAAGCCTTGGGCCTAGCGATACTGAAGACCCAGCACCGTATCATGAGGATCTGGTCGATTTGGATTACGAGGAAGATGTCTTAAAAGTAGATACAGCTGATGAAGATTGAGACTGGCTTGGAGCTTAAGTGTGGGTCGAGGGAACAGTCTGACTCCGTGGAGGGGGTGTCAAAGATGTGCGGAGTTCAGCCTGCTCCTATAAGAACGGGCATGTCAGGACATGTTCATTTGATGTTGTTCTGCTTGTTTTGCTTGTTTCATGCCCTGCTTCTGGGCCTCAGAGCCTGAAATAATGAAAGCCATGTGTAGAGAAAATGCATGCATTTACAAACCCCATAAGCATGAATGTATATGACACACACTCACACAACTACACAGACACACAGGCTCGCTTGGAGGCACACACACGCAGGAAGAGAACAGCAGAGCAGAAGATGTCTTTTCTTTTTAATAAAAATTACCAGTTTCAGATGAATGAGAAAGATGTGTTTATAAAAAATCAATAAACGAGTAGATAATCAAGTGATATTATAAACTTTGTGATTTTAAAATGTAAAACATTATGATTGTAGAATGTAATCTGTTTTAAGCTTGTTCATGTTGTTTGATTGTTGAAAGAAGAACTCCGTAGAATGTTCTGGAAGAAGTAATACAAGCAAGGGTATTACGCAATGGGAAAATCCCAGAAACAGCTCTGAGCAAATCAGGATAGGATAACTCAGAATGACTAAGCATAATTGAACAAAGTACACCCAGAGATTAATATGCACGAGGAGTGACTGGCAAAACCTCATAAGAGGCCTGTAAATTCGGACCAAGGTCCAACCCAAAAGGAGATGGATTAGGGGCAGCACGGTGGCGCAACTGGTAGAGCTGCTGCCTCTCAGCGAGCAGGTCCTTGGTTCAAACCCCGGTCCAGGGGCCTTCTGGGTGGAGTTTGCATGTTCTCTCCGTGCATGCGTGGGTTTTCTCCGGGTACTCCGGTTTCCTCCCACAGACCAAAAACATGCATGTTAGGCTAATTGGTAACTCTAAATTGTCCCTAGGTGTGAGTAAGAGAGTGAATGGTTGTTTGTCTCGTTTGTCTCTATGTGTCCCTGTGATGGACTTGCGACCTGTCCAGGGTGTACCCCGCCCCTCGCACAGTGATTGCTAGACATGGGCACCAGTGACCCCCGTGACCCAAAATGGAATAAGCGGGTAAAGATAATGGATGGATGGATAGGATGGATTAGCCTGATGGCACGATCGGTCTGGAGATGTCAGTCAAAATTTCAGGCTATATAAACAAAGGTTTCAGTGAAAACTCTGCTGTTTGGGACCCACTGCTCGTGCGAGGAAAAGAAGGACAAGAGGACCACGAGATGATTGTGGACTAATAGGGCAATTTTGGACGGTCTCTGCTAGAGAAGAACTAGGGTGAAATCCGTTGGAATACGCTTATTTTTGGAACTATTTATCAACCCATCAGCCCGGATTATTCCTAAATCCTTTTTCTTCAATTTCAACCAGACCGAGGATCAGAAACGGCCCACATCCGAGAGAGAGAGATGGGGAAATTTGCCTCTTACTAATTCAGAAAACATGGTAAGGGGACGTTTCTCAAATTTAGTCCTTAATAAAACCTTATCCCAAATTAAAGCAGTGGTGTATGAATTGACAAGCAGAAAAATCTATTATATTATAAATCTGGTTGCTCAGAGTTGCAGAAGGGTCTTCCTTGCAGTGAGAAATAATGTGTTGGGTCAGGTAGAGAGAGTAGGTAAACTGTATGTATACTTGTGTTCCTGAGCGAGACTGGGCGTGGCCGGCCGGACTAAAAGAAGTCCGAGGCCAAGCAGAGAGGAGTCCTTTTCTTGGAAGTGGAAAACTTGGTTCAGAGAAACAACAGAAGCACAGGAGGTTTTAAACGGTTTTATTAGCTGTTGATTATACAACAACATCCATGAGCCTTGTGCCTAGGCTCTAAACAACGCCAGATCGATTAACAATTGCAACGCTAAATCAAGAGATGAGCTACCGTTAACTTGCGCTTCCTCGTCTGCTAAACATCCCCACTCATGCTGCTAGGTCAGGCGAGGCACGAGGTGAGACTTTGGGTGTGGTGCAAGGATCGGAGGTAGTTAACAGTCTGGGTGAATCATCTCAATACAGCCTTAAAACTAAAACTGTCCTAGGAAACGGCTTCAGGTAATACCTGAGCTATAGGATTAGTTTTGAGACCCGTTGGAGGAGAGGCTGCGGTGAGAGCGTGGCACGTGTCCTGTGCCTACCTCACTCGGGAAAGCAAGACAGCGGTCTACACTCATCTCCAGGCCAGAGGTCACTCTTTCAGGGATGAAGATGTTCACATCCTGGACAGAGAAGAGCAATGGTTTGAGAGAGGAGGAAAGGAGGCCATCTTTGTGAAAAGAAACCGTCCATCATTAAACAGGGGTGGAGGCCTCCGTGTTCAACTGTCCTCCTCTTACACTGCTGTTATTGCTAGTATCACTCAACCCTCTGTGAATAGTAAACAGCCATCAGTGTGCTAATAATCCATTGTTAGGCTGATGGTCCTTCTTGACCATGTGAGCAGCTGGTTTTGGTTGTCAGCAGCAAACTGGTTGATCCACTCTGAGAAGGTGTTATTTAAGAGACTGAGCTGAATACAGCACCTCAGACTGAGGAAGTCTTTTGGATGAAAGACAAAACATTTCTACTTTTTTTTTTTGCTTTGTTTTGTTTTTTGAATGTCCAGAGGACCAGACTTAACTTTTTTAGATTTTTCTGCCTGTGTTATTCAGTATGCATCAGGATATGAAACTAAAACTTTGACATAAAAGACATTTATTATTTCCGTAATCATTCACTTTGTTTTTTAAGATATATTGTTGAAATGGCCCTATGTGGGGAAATAAACAACCAAAAAAAAAAAAAAAAAGACCACTTCAGTATTAATGTGCTATTATTTCAATTTTTATTAAAATACTGTAATTCAAACACAGTAGGAGGAGTAATATTCACAGCAAACACAGAAATGGCTGTTTTCCAAGTTCTTTCAGAAGTATTCTCTCTTCCACACTGGCAGCTCCTGGAAAATAACCTCATCTGGGTTCTCATCAGCTGGAGGACAGAGAGACAAACAATAAAACATAAAGTTATAGACAGGAAAGTGAGAAAAACAAACTATTCAGGGCAACAAGCAAAATAGGAAACTAATGAACTTTAATGTAAAATGATTGGAACTCTGACTCCCCGTGCTTAACCCCTGCTTCGCCTTCTGGAACACAACCATGGATTACCTCACTGTTCACAGCATTAAAGACCTCCCTCTGCAATTGCCTTCCCTCCAGAACAGTGACATCATCCTTCCCAGCTCCAATTGGTGGCCCCACCTCACCTGCTTGTGAAACACTAAAAAAGAGGTGACTCTCTTCCTCCTGTCTGTGAGGACCTGTTACCATTTTGGATCTGGACTCATTCTGCAGCTGCAAAATAAATAAAACTGTTCTTGTTTTTACTCTGGCTGTCTTTGAATCCAAAAATCTGGTCCTTGACAGAATAATATGGCCAAAATAATGGATTCAAAGACAACACAAGAGTGGCTCTCCAGCATTGAGGGCTCATTGGTTGATATGGACATTTAGAAGCAGCTTATGTTGACATGCTCCATGCCAGGTTTGGCACACTCACCGCAGAGACTCTGCCTTGCACCAAGCCTGCTGCAGACCCCACGACTCTAAAGCTTTATGCAGAAACCACGACCTCCATGCCTGGCCTCAAGGGTCCCACACTGCTCGAGGGCTCCACGCCTTGGCCTGAGGGCTCCATGCCTGATCCTGAGGGCTCCACGCCTGGCCTCGAGGGCCCCACACTGCTCGAGGGCTCCATGCCTAGGCCTGAGGGCTCCATGCCTGATCCTGAGGGCTCCACGCCTGATCCTGAGGGATCCATGCCTGATCCTGAGGGCTTTACGCCTGGCCTCGAGGGTTCCACTCTGGTCAAGGTCTTCATGTCTCATCATGGGTGTCGGGGACAACAGCCCACCTCCACGCCTCACGTTGTGTGGCAAGGATGGCAGCCCATCTCCACGCTCTCTGTCTCCCGAGGGTCCCAAGCCTCCAGAGGGGTCCAAGCTTCCCAGGCTTCCACGTCAGCTGCAGATCTGACACCCATGCCTGCTCCATCGCCTGCTCCAGATCTGACCCTATCGCCATGTATTTGATGGCCACCTGGGCATTCACCCATGACATTGCCACTTGCCAGACAGCCTCCTGGCCGCCCACTGAAGCCCGGGAACTGCTCTGGATGGCCCTTCTGGCCAACAACCTGTTTTTTGCCCTCCTCCAAGAACCCCTCCACCCACACACCAAGTTCTTTTCTTACAAGCAGACATGCTTGTAAGGGTGTCCTTCATGAGCTGGACACAATTTATCACTCTGCTCTTGGCTTTGTTACAAATGCTCCTCATAGAACATCATTGTCACCTTTACTCTCCTGTTGAATGGTCTTCTCTATATACTCGTCATAAAATTCCTTAGTTTACCCTCATTTATACGATGTTGCTGGGTTTGTTACCTCTACTGCAACTAGCATCGGTTTGGAAGTATAACTCCTGATCCTCTCAGTGTTTGTGGTTAACAACTCTAAAGACCAAGTCTCACTTTGTCTTTGCTGCTCCATCTGTCTCCATCCATGAAAAAACTTTGAGTCTGACATCACTTGTCTCAGTTTTTACTTTTAAAAATTGTTTAAAATCCATTTTTAAACATTTTCATGCTTAGCAATGTTGTTTAACTTTGACAATGAACTGTTGTTAATGTAATTTGTGATTTCCTGGTTTGTTATTAACTACTATATTTTATTGGTTTGCCTAACTGTATTGTTTCCCTTCCCTTGACCCTGTTGGTGCTGCCCAGCCAGCGCTGTAAATGAGAATTTGTTCTTAATGTTCATGCCTGGTTAAATAAAGGTGAAATAAAAAATAAAAAACTGGCTCCTGTCAATGTGGAGGAGCAGTGGTTCTACTCAGAGTCTCTCCCAAATAAGTGAACTTCTCACCCTTTCTCAGAGTCCAGCTACTGTGCAAAGAAAACTAATTTTAAACTCTTGTATCTTGTTATTTGGTCATTTCACCTTATTTTATCCAGGCATGAACACTAAGAACAAATTCTTATTTACATATCTTAGATCTTATTACTGTTTTTCTTTTAAATTTTATTATTGGATGTAACTGGGACCCTGTGTAAATAATCTCATTCCACCACATGAGATGTGAATGACAAATAAATCTCTGACTCTGACAATCTGTGAAGATCCATGACTTCTCCTCCTCCACCATAACCTACAGCATGGGCTCCCCCCAGGGCTGTGTGTTGAGCCCCCTCCTGTTCACTCTGGTAAGGTATGACTGTGTACCGACCAATCCAGGCTGTCGTATTGTAAAGTTAGCAGATGATACAACTGTGGTTGGATGCATCAAAAACAATAATGAGCTATAGGAAAGAGGTGGAACACCTAGAGAGCTGGTGCAGGAAGAACAACCTTCACATCAATGTGAAGAAGACAAAGGAGGTTGTTGTGGACTTCAGAAGGAATAAACACACCCCCCCCCCCCCCCCCCCCCCAAACATAGGAGGATCTGCGGTGGAAGTGGTCTCCAGCTACACGTACTTGTGTACACATGAATGACAACCTCAGCTGGAGCAACAACACCACCAGCCTGATCAAGAAAGCTCATCAGAGACTCTACTTCCTCAGACGGCTGAGGCGAGCTGGTCTGGGAAGCTCAGTCCTCACCTCCTTCTACAGGTGTGCAGTGGAGAGCATCCTGTGCTC